TTGAAGTTTAGTTTCCGTGAAATTAAGTGGTTCGTGATTTCGACTCCCCTACTTCAAGATACAAAACTTTTGGCGAAGTCGCGCAAATCTAAACTCGTCAGTGTGTCAGAATTTAGACTTCGAAATATTATCTGAAACTATCCTTAAGGCATTAAATTTTGTATTTTTGATATTTTATATATTTGGAAGTTAAGTTTCGAATAGATCAAACGTTTTGTGATTACGATGTTGCTACATCAAGATACAAAAGTTTTGGTGAAGTCGTGCAAATCTGAAACCGTCGTCGCGTCAGAATTTAATATAAATTTTGAAATATTATCTGAAACTATCCTTAAAGAATTAAATTTTGCATTTTGCACATGTTATAGATTTGCAAGTTAAGTTTTCAAATATGATATTTTTGACTTTTCTACACCAAGATATGATTTTTTTTGTGAGACTGCGTAAATATAAAATTCTCAACGTGGTGGAATCCAAAGTTGGTTTCAAAAATATTAGCTGGGGCGATTTTGAAGGTGTTTGATTCTAAGTTTTGGATATATTTTAGATATTGAAGTGTAATTTTTGAGAAATAAACGGTTCGTTATTTGAACTCTCCCACGACAAGAAATAAATCTTTTGTTACAAGCGCGTAAAGTTGAAAATTATGCGACTTAGATAAATGTCGGGCAATGTAAAGAAAAGGAGAAGCAATCTTATTTATGATGAAATAAATATCCACTAGGTCAATCTAACATAAAGATAAAAGGGGAGATAAGCCTAATTTAAACAAAACTTTTAGTTGATCAATTCTTGACAGCTAGTCTCCAGGTTCTTCTTCTCCTCTAAATTGGCTGAATCATCAACAGTCAGCAAATTTACGTTGTCATATGAAGAGATCTCAGTCTCGACAGCTAAAACTTTTTCCTGAATCTCTTCAACCTCCTTTTGTGTCGCTTCTATAACACCTTCTAGGTTCCCTCTCTCTTGTTGTAATGTCTACAACTTCTTCACAACTCTCATCAGTTTCTTTTCATTAGAGGAAACTTTCTTGACTTTTTCACTTGCTTCAAGTTTAAACGATTCAAGACGCTCCTTAGCTTTGGAAATCAGCTCCAGCTTCTCATCTTGACTCGTCTTATCAGCCATGTTGGATCGCTCTTGGTCATATGAAGCAGCAAGCTCGAAAGAGAATCCAGTAAACATTCTAATGGAGAAAGATCTAAAATATTCGCCTTTTTCATATCCTCAAAAATCTCAGTGATTTGCTCCCTATAAGATGAGAGCAGCTCTCCACGAGTTTTGGAGAGTCTATTGCAAATATCCTCCCAAAGTCCCAAGATGAATTCCTTTTTGCGATTAAAGACAATGTCCTTCCTTCAAAAATAGACACTGCTGCATTTGTCATTGGTGGAACGCGAGTTATCTCATTTGAAGTTTGTCTTTTTAGGGTTTTGTCATGAGGAAGAGATGATGCCTTTGAAGAAAACTTCACTTTAGACGTAGGCCCTCCAATAGATTCATCATTTGCTTGCGTCTTGTCATGTGGGGATACCATCGGATGCCCAATGGCATTTAGCTGCCTAAGGAAAAGGCAAAGAAAGTGGGTAATTCGTAGTGAAGCTATTCATTCGATTAAAAAAAGAAAAAAAAAAGGCAAGGTGACTGTATTTTTACCTCTTTGTTACAAGCCGTATGAGTTCTTGAGGGACTATCAACACTTGGAACCTCTACGATCTCTACTGGGTTAGGTCGTTTTCTTTTAAATTTTGATCTTCATTGGTACTCTGGCTTTTATCTTGAGGAACTTGCGTGCTAAATGGAAGAGCTGGAGGGTGTTTCTCTATATCTGTTGAAGTGCACACCACCTCTTTTAAAGCTGCCTTTGAGGATTTAAGCTTCCTTTTCTCATGTTGTGGTTTGGGATTGGAGTAGCTGGTTCTTTGACTTTTGAGACCGTCTTTCCAACACCTTGATCTTCACCTCCTAAAAGAGTAGTAGATTTTAGCACAACATTGTCTATCAGAGCTTGTAAATTATTCTCGAGAAACTTCTCATGCGCTTTCTCCCACCAAGACATATAATTGGTGGAGAAAAGATTCTCCACAGGATCTCCCATTGGGGGAAAAGCCACGCGTGACATAGACTGATACAGTGTGAAAATCTTCCAAAATCTGAGTCCTTCATCTAGAGAGGCGCTACAAATATTATTCTTAAAAAAATCGGGAACGGTCTGGTACAACCCAAATTGACGACCAAACCGATGCGGGCTATATGGGGTCGATGATGAATGAGTTATCATACCTCAAAGGGAGGTAATTAAAACGTAAGCTCATGAAGTAATTTGACTCTAACTCTTGAGGGGCATCATTATCCACATAATAATAAGGACGAGAATTGGTTAACATTGTTGGTGTCCAAACTATATCCTCCCCATTTTGGATGCGTTTTCTTGCATCCTTCTCGTCAAATTACCTCGCAGCTCCCTCTCCTGAGTGTGTTGCCATCAAAGGGACAGATGGACCCTTAGCAAGTGGATAATGAGTTTTGAGGTAATGTGCAAGCCAGCCGTAAACATAATGGATGGGAAAACAAACTTTGACCTGATTAAGTTGGGAAGAATACGAAATATTATTCAAACCATGATAAATACTTGTCAAAACTGGGATCGCAAGGCTAATCTTTCGCTCGCTTGCCATCATGCTTGCCATCTTAAAAGTCTCGGACAAATGAAGTTCTATGCCACATAGCCAAATTGATAAGAAAGCTGCTATGTATGTTTCATCTTTCTTGTCAGACCTCAGCTTGGAGAATATAGCTTCTTGATCACTCGACCACCTAGTTATCTCGGGAATAACTCCGTTAGGATTATGTGTCGACTTTAGGCGTGCGAATTTCTTTTCCTTTCGCGGCGGGGCAGGTTTATATATTAAAGCATTTTTGTACCAAAATTTGTCCACTTTCAAGGAGACCTTTTGGTTAGCACCCGTATCTTCCTTGAGGTGATGGAAGGCAGCAAATAAATACTCGCAAGATCGAGGAATAAATCTCATATGTTTTTCGTCCAAACCGATGAGTTCTCTTGTCTCAGGTACCACTTCTTCGTATGGATAACCGCTATGGGAAGACCTCCAAGGATATGTAAGTCCCAAAGAGAGATAGATAGTTCCCCAGCTGATGTAAGAAGCGTGTTCGTCTTGGGGGCACCAAGCCTCACAAAATGCTTGCAAAATATTCAAGTTTCGATCATAAGTGAAAAGTGAGGCATAGACAGCATCATAAATCTTTGTTGTACTCGGGGTTTGTTGGCTTCTGCCAAGTACATCTTCAGCCCATTCCCAATATCCTGGAATATGACTATACTCGCCCTCGATTGCTGTTGTGTTTCCTCCAACGTACTTCGCCTTGAATTATGCGACGCCCTAAGTTTGGAATGGTGCTAGAAATGTTTATGTGGCGATGGATTGGCGCTTGGAGAGACCACATCTTGGACAATGGATTAGAAGTAGAGTTGTGCTCCAAGGTCCAGTTTTCTACATGAAGGGAGTTCCTCAAAGAAAGCCATGAGGCTGCATACCAGCCAGCTTGTGGGGTGTGAACCAAGAGCTTGGTTTGTTCTACGCCATCTTCAGTCTCAATTACGAGATATCTATGTTTGGAGGAAGGTGAGGAATAGTCTCTGATTTTTCCCATCTCTTCGGGCTGCAAAAAGAAAAAAAAGAAAAAAAAAGTCATCAAAGTCCAAATCAAAAAAATTAGAATGTTTCCATGGCGCGGATTCAATAGATCCTAATTCTATACTGGTAGAAGACCGCGATGTTCTTATACAGGCTGCCCTTGGCGGAGTAATTAACAGGGATAATGCAAAAGACATTAAAGCCAAATTCATTGTTGAGGCTGCTAACCATCCAACTGATCCTGAAGCTGACGAGATTTTGGCAAAGAAAGGAGGTGTCATTCTGCCAGACATATATGCAAACTCAGGAGGTGTTACTGTCAGCTATTTTGAATGGGTTCAGGACATCTAAGATTTTATGTGGGATGAGGAAAGAGTGAACACTGAGCTAAAGGCATACATGAACAGAGGTTTTAAAGATGTCAAGGATATGTGCAAGACTCACAACTGCAATCTCCGAATCACCCTAGACGTCAACCATGTTGCCAGAGCAACAACACTAAGGGGATGGGAAGCCTAAGAATGAGGCGAGGATTGCTTCTTCTTCAAATAAACATACACTCTAAAGCATGCTTCTGCATATTCATTTCTGCACTTGCAAAATTTGACAAAAATTTAGCCATTTCAATAGTTTTTCTTGACCTTTTAAAAGAAAAATAAATGTTGTACACCGTCACTCTTACGAGTACAAGATGGCTTGAAAGCACTGGAATGGGCCACTTTGCTTGGTCTAATTCTCGCTATAGCTACGAAATATATTGTAGCTAAATATAAAAATTTCCGTGGCTAGACACTTTAGCCACAATATTTTTTCCGTAACATTTGTAGCAAAATATAGCATAGCTAAAAGTTAGCTACAAACTTTACATGATTCGTGGCTAAGGACTAATACTTATTGCCACAAATTTTTTTTATGTTGTAACTGTAATGACAAAAATTTCTTGCCACAAAAAACATACTTGTAGCAAGTGATTTCATTCTTGTAGCTATGAATTCAAAAGTTCATAGCAACACATTATAGTATCTGGCACAATAATTTTTATATCGTAGCTAAGAATTCATACTTTTAGCTATGAATTCCATAATTTCGTAGCAATAAATTGAAGAATTTGTCACGATCAGCTTTAGCCCTAAAAATTTATATATTGTAGCTAAAAATCCATAATATATCATCAAATATATAAAAAAAAATTAGCAAAATATTTTAAGTTTTTTAATAAATGATATACATTAGTAAGAATACATAATTAAAAGTTCAACAATATCATTCAAGATAAATTAGAATACTAAAATATTGTTATACTCAAAACATAACGATATTTTTTTGCAAGAAAAAGAATAATTTCATACAGATCCACAATACATAACTCTTTTACAACACGAATAATAAAGTTCTAAAAAAACTAGCTAATGTGAGTCTGGATAGGGAAGGTAACCATCAGCATACAGTGAAGAGAAGTGAAAACTCATACGTGCTCCAATGCTTTTCTAATACCAGGTTCTGATGGCGAATTGAAAGATATTAGTAAATTGTAGTTGTACCATATGCGTAAAAGAAATTGTTGTTCTTGTGGATATCAAGAAGAAGGACGCAATAAAATAAGATCTTATAGCACTCCATCGATTATTTCACCTGGTGACACCACCTCCTGATCTAGCAAGACTGTCATGTTACCCTTTTGATCTTGCAGGACTGCCACCTTGTGTTTCTACATTTATGAAGGAGTCATAAATTCTAACCTGTATATAAAAAAATGGCATCCACACCATAAGTTTAGTACATTAATTAGTTGGCACTTGTCAATCACGTTTGAACTAAATAACATTTTCTTTGGCAGGATAAGATTCTGCCAGAAACAACAACCTGCTTCTTTAAAACCATAAGATTGTTAGTGCAATGTATATACCAAAAAACTACAAACCGTTCAAAAGATAAGTCTTATTTAGCAGTTCTTAGTTTGAAGCACAACACTATAAGAAAATACTACCAACCTCATAAGCTGCATTTCTTCTTAGTATCTGATAACTAGGTGTTCTGAAGTCTTGTAAATTCTTAAGTTTGTAACTGCCCAAAAAATTTTATTCTCATATTTCTCGGCTCAAGAAACGAGCACAAGCTAAACCAGTTCAACATCACACCTGTTTCATAACAACAAATATTACTAGAGTAAAATATTGTTATTCTAAATAAAATTTCAGAAGTCCTAAAGATTTTAACAAGAATTTTGTGAACACTCCATCCTTCACTAAGTAGTATATCTAATTGATTTTGTTTTGAAAAAGAGTGAAGTATCATACATACCTCATGGTTATTGCACTTGTTTGTTTCTACGTTGATGCCCATAACACAAGTGCCTGAAAAGACAAATTCAGGTTTAATTAAAAAGAATGAACCTAATCACCATACTGCAACATAAATTTGGAGCATATGCCAACAAATGAATGTGCTAATGCATCCCATAATTTCACCCTTATAAGCTGTTGGAGTATTTATACGACATATTTGAGAAGTTTTTCCACCATCTCAGCAAATTCATTGGATAGCGTCAAGAAGTATTTATGAGTTATGGATTTATCCTAATTGCTGCATTGAAGTTTTAGAAATAAAGGAATGGTAATATCTTAACAACCAGCTCTTCTTCACCTATTTACATCATTGTTAGCTTCCACAGGAAGTACAAAATATATAGAAAGAGAAGATTTATTAGTATAGTTTTTTGTGTGTGCATATAACTGTAAACTGGGTACAACCTAAAAGGCCATTTAAGATCCCCAATTTGTAAATGAAGGTAATGAAGAATATACAATATACAAGAAAATAAAAAAACTAATTTAAACAAATTACAAAAGGCAAATATAGCCAATATAAAAAGGCTTGTTCAGGCTTAGTACTACGGAGATTAAGATTCAACTACTAATTTCCATACACAAACTAATTTAAACAGATTACAAACGGCAAATATAGGAATTAAAATTTACGAAAAAGACCCTCCATTCATAATAGGAGAGATTCCTAATTCATTGCTTTGAATTTGGCAATCTTTTAAATTCTTGGCACTTATCAATATAGCTAAAGTCGGGATTGCCATTGCACTGCCATAAAGTAATGATGAAATTGAAAAGAACTATTCTCGATCAAGAATCCTAAGAAAGTAATGACAACAATCGAAATAATTAAGAAGATAAACAAAAGAAAAACTAGGGTGGCCGTACCTTGACAATTTCTGTTTTTCAAAGCAAGAGGAACGAGGGTTTTATGGACTTAGAGTGGGGAAGGGTTACACTCTGTTTGGATCATTGTTACCCATTATTTTATAATGTATTGTATTGTACTGTACCGTATTGTATCATTTTGATGGATACAACATTTGGATAGATTGTATCGTTTGCTGTTGTTAAACAATATTTTTATTGTTTGGTTTGACTGTATTGTATTGTACTGTACTGCTATATTTACTAAAATACCCGCAATTATTTTAAATACGATGCTTCTTAAGAACTGCTCATAAAAAATAATTTATTTATTTGACCTTCCGATCTTCCTCATAGGGAATCATCATTCTACCATAGTAATGAAAGCACCAAACTGGTTTCATACAAAAAAAAATTATAGCCCCATCAAAATAGAGAACAACGGACCTTTTGTTCCTGTAGTTTGGAATGGTAGAAGCCTAAGTAAATTATATATGTAATTATAATTAGCAAAAAGTTTGCAAAGATTATAGATGAGATAAAAATACAGAAAAAAAGAGAGGGAAAACTAACTAAAAAAATAAAAGGAAGAAGGACGGAGACAAAGTAGCAGTTGGGTGAAGTATAACATAAATAATAGGGTAAAGGGTAAAATTAAGATATAGAATAATTAGTGTGGGCGTAATTGGAAAGAGAAATACGGAACAATCCCATCACACCGATTTGGTTGTTTCATAAAATGGGGCTTTTCATTGTTCCGGAACAATGAATTTAACAATACAATACAATCAGGTTTATATGAACAATCAAAACATACATTGTATCTGGGGTAACAATACAATACAATACGATGGGTAACAACCATCCAAACAATACGTTAGAGTGGGAGATGCGCGGATATCTTTTTTGGGGAATGGGTTTGGGAGTCTAAATATTTTAGGTCTTAAGGGAATGGAGAGATTTGGGCTTTAATCTTTTTCTTTTTTTTTTTTTCGTTTATATTTTTTATTTGTAACTTTGCCTTTAACTTTTCATATACTTTGGCACACAAATGAATACCTACACGATAGGGGTGTCAATGAATATTTGAAAATCGACCGAACCGTACCGTACCGAACCGATTTTTAAGTTTCTTTTTAAGAAACCGTAGGTTTTTATGTAAATCTATAACCGCACGATAATTAGGGTAGGTTTTTTATTTTATAAAAATAAATCGAAAAAATACCGAACCGTACCGAATAAATTTTACATGTGGAAAATATATTTATTTGGTAAGTTTAAAAATAATAATGCATTAAATTTTCTTTGGGCCTTGGAACTATGAAAACTATTACAAGCCAACAAGTAATTAACTCAAATACTAATTCCTAAAACCTATTATGCTACTTCTACTTAAACTAAGTTATTTTAAGTATCTTTATTAGCAAGACACAAAGTATTCTAGCGATTATGAGTAGCAAACTACAATGTATTGAATATGTTTCCTTTCTTATAGTTCAGATTTATCTTTTTAAATATTTTATCTTTTGTAGACTTTATTCTTCAGTCCCATCTTGGTATATCTTTCAACTCGTGGGATTTATATTCTCTTTGCCTTTGTTTGATTTCTTTTACGTTGTTGTAGAATAGTTGATGGATCTATACTCTAGCCATCTTTTTTTTTTAATTCATCACCCTTTAAACAGTAAAAATGTCTAGAGTGTTTTTCTAAATCCTATAAAAGAACGTATGTTATTGCATTCTACTTCTACTAGTGAATTTTACATGATATTTAAAAAAATACCGAAAATTAACCGAAGCGTACCGTACCGAAGAGAAACCGACATGATTGGGACGGTTTCGAAAAGTCTAATTTTGGTTATACATAATAGAATAACCGAAAAATGGTATGGTACAAATTTTATAAAATAACCGTCCGAACCGAACCATTGACACCCCTACTACACGATATTACGTAAAAACTAAAACAAAACTAATGTAGTAATAATAAAATTTTGCTAGCAAAACAACAAATAAACAAAATAGGAACTTAGCTATTGTGTATATAATGTTTTGAGTTTAGATTGTAGAAAAAATTAAATTGTAATAAAAATTTCATTTAAAGTGTAAATAGAATATTTTTTAGAATTAGTTGCAATACTTATACATCTACAAGGGATCGTTTGGTTTGAAGACAAGTTATGATGGGATCAATTATGCGAGGATTAATTATTCTAGTATTATTTCTTGTTAACTGTTTGGTATATCGTATTAATCCCGGGATTGTCAATTTTACTTCTTTATCATAGGATAACTTATCTTGGAATTACTATTCTACCATCTATATGTATAGGTTAATTCGACATTTTTAGTCTTGGGATAACAATCGCAGGATTAGTAACCAAAAAGGAATATGGCGGTACTAAATTTTTATTTCAGAATTATTTTTACTTATCCATCGCATCAAACGACCCCTAACAATTTGTTGCCTTTTATAGAGATTGATTTTATAGACATATATAACATTTAACATCTAAATTTTATTTTGTTTTTGATTAAAGCAAATCAAAAAAAAATTTTAAATTTATTTATGTCATAAAAGATAATAAAATAATTTGGTTTTAAAATTTCAAATGATATTCATATTTCATTAATCAAAAATTTAAAAAACTAATACAATATCAATAAGTGGAACATGTGAACAAATATTAAAATATAAACAGTTTCTACTTTTATATTTTTCGATGTTTTTTCCCTAGTTAACAGAGTTTTTTTTTTGTGTTCCCAATTTTTCCACTAAAATTTACAAAATTTATTAAAGGTACGTCTCCAGCAAATACAATTATATTATTTTTTTACTTTATAAAATAATAAACATATAAAATAATAAATATATAAATATTTAACTAATGATGCTATAGGGAGATAGTTTTACATGAGTGTACAATTATAATGATGGATGTTGATAATATAGGAAAATATTGTTATAGAGATATAAAATATAAAATAAAAATCAATTTCAAAGAGAACTTATTGTTATAGTGAAATAATGGTCTAAAAGATAACTGTTATAGAAAGATTAGATTGTACAGCAAATGATCTATTATTAAAGAGTATTGTTTACATTTTAATTATATATTTGAAATTAATAAATTTTTTAATTGTATACAATTATTAATTTTTCTCTATTATACCAAAACTCTAACTCTTTTTATTAAAAATTAATTAATTAAATATTTCTCTAACTTGTTACAAGAATATAGTTATTTAAATTCTATATAATTTTTTATTCACACATTAATTGTAAATAGTTTCATTATTTTTTAGTTATAATTCATATATTATGAATTTAATGTATAAAATATATGAAAATTATATAAAAATGTAACAACTATTTCCTCATTTTTTATATATCTTGAAGCAAAAATATTCATTTAGCTACAAGATGTTATTCCAATAGTTTAATGTGGCTAAGAGTATAATATTTTATGGTTAGTTTTAACTCGCGAAAAAAAATTAATGATTAGCTACAAAATTTTATCATATCAATAAAATTGTAGATATGCCGTTTCTCATGAAAAATAATTATATCTACTTATTAGTCTAATTCTTTATTACTAATGAAACAAAGAATATTAGAATGGGCACAAAGGTCTAAATGGATGAAATGGCCTCCGACAGTCGGGCCACATTGAGAGTAATCTCTCTGATAGTCGGGCCGCATTGGGAGTAATCTCTTCGACAGTCGGGTCATTTTGAGAGTAATCTCTCCGATAGTCGAGCCACATTGAGAGTAATATCTCCGATAGTCGGGTCATTTTGAGAGTAATCTCTCCAATAGCCGAGCCACATTAAGAGTAATCTCTCCGATTGTCGGGTCACATTGAGAGTAATCTCTCCGATAGTCGATCCACATTGAGAGTAATCTCTCCGATAATTGCACCTTGAGAGTATTCTCTCCGATATTCGGGCCGAGATGAGTGCTCATCCCTTCACACCTTAAAATACCCTTCTTCATGCGTGGATCATCTCGTTAAACAAGAACATACATCTTTCTTGTTTGACCTACAAAAAAAGCAGTAAAAGAAGAAAAGCACAAGAAATTACCTTTGCATAATGCTTCCAAGTCGTTAAAAGTAGACTCAAAGTGGTTTCAAACGCTGAAAATGATGCTAATAGAATAAA